TTTTTATTTAGGAAAGTTTTAGGTTGAAATAAAATTAGGAATCGAAAAAAAAAAAAAAAAAAATGGTTATGGTTGATAGGCTTAATTGTCGCATACAATATGTGGATGATTCGGATCCATTTGCGACAACATCATGCTCACATTTGGAACCAAATCGTCCTATTATGTATAATTTTTTACTTCATCAACCAATCGGTGAACAATTACCGGAAATTATTCGTACACTTCGAGCACCACATAAGGTAATTTATTATTTTAATTCAATATTTTATTACTTTTTTTTCTTCTTTTTCATTTTTTAATTAGCATTCATTTAATGAATGATAAGTAATTATTAAATTACATATCATTTATTAAATGAAATGATAAGTGTGAATTAATTATTTGATAAGTAAGTATAAAATTAGAAGCAAATAAGAAAGTAAAACATGTTAAAATTAGAAGGAATTGGAAGGAAAGAAAAAAAAGAAAAAACAAATTTTGTTGAAATATTGAAAATTGTTTTAATTAATTAATTAATGAACGAATGCATTGCAGTTAATAAAGCTAAAAATTAAAAGAAAAAAAAAGGGGAAAAAAAGCTTTCAACACTAATCTTTTTGATCTTTGGAATAATCTTTGATAAGTTTTGATATTTTCTTTGATATGTTTTGGCGTTTAAATGTGATTGAATTAATTAATTAATCAATTAATTGTCTAATAATTAAATGACACTTTTTATGATACATTTTCAGTTTAAATGTGATTGAATTAATTAACCAATTAATTAATCAATTAACTGTCCAATAATTAAATGACACTTTTTATAATATATTTCTATCCTATAAATTAATAGATTAAATAATTAAAGCCAAACAATGCTGCATTACAAATATACAAATATGAGGGTAGTGTTGGTGATTATGGTTCATATTTGGATTCTGAAATGTCACTAATGGAACAAGAGGATGAACTTGAAATTCTTAAAGCTGATCCGTAAGTTTCTCAAAACCTTTTTTTTTTCCCTCATTTAAGAATAAAAGAAAAAGTTGAAATTAAGTAAGCAAAAATTTTGATCATTCAGAAACTAATCATATCTTATCAAATTTCATTTCTCAATGAAAGAAACTCTTAAACTCATTCATTTCTAAAATTGAATTTTATTTCAGTTTAAATTTAAATTTAAATTCAAATTCCAGTTATTACATTTACAATCATTGGAAGAATTGTTATAATTGATAAATTTAAATAGTACAAAACAAAATTAAATTTCATTTTAATTTTAAATTTAAATTTAATTGGAATTTCAATTATCATTAAAAGAATATTACAAATAGAAATAATGAATGGAAAAGATAGGAGAAGATATGGAGAAATTTGATAAAGATTAGCGGTGACATAAGTTATCGTTGACACAATTTATGATGAAATGATTGGTATGAATGAAAGAAAATAGTGATGTTAATGTACGACAGTCAACCGTTTGTTACTATATTACATACTAACCTTGTACAAGTAGTATAGTATTAAATAATGATAATTGTTGATAATTTCAAATGATATTATCATAATCAATTACTTATCATTCTTCTTCTCCTTCTTCCATCATTTAGTATTTATTTTATCACTTTTTAACATTTCCCTTCCATTGATCAAATTTATTGATTTGGCCTCAATTTGACTTTTTATCGGCAAACAGCGGGATATCATTTTGGTAAATTAGAAATCCTATAGTAAATTGTAAAAATTTTCACAATTTCTTCTTTAAATTCTTTCATCCGTCTTTCTAAATCATTCAATATGTTAAACGATTCAAACAAATCTTTTGTTATTTCTTTTCGTTTAATTATATTCATTAATTCGTTTATTTTTAATTCTTTTTCTGTTTATTTGTTTATTTATTTATTTATCTGTTTATTTGTTTATTTGTTTATTTATTTGTTTATATGTTTATTCATTTATTTATTTAATTTTTTCATCGGTCTTTCTAAATCATTCAATACGTTAAACGATCAAACAAATCTTTTACTATTTCTTTTCGTTTAATTATATTCATCAATTCGTTTATTTTTAATTCTTTTTCTGTTTATTTATTTATTTGTTTATTTATTTGTTTATTTATTTATTTATTTATTTATTTACTTATTCATGTATTATGGTTAAGTGATTAAATTTAAAATAATGATGCGATAATTTTAATGAATTTGAAAATTAACTCGACATTTTCGCCGATAAATATATGACTTAGCAACATTTAATTAATCATTTCATTGCATGTATCATAAATTGTTTATTTATTAAGCAATTTTGTTTATTGCTTTTTTTTTGGTAAAATTTAATTTTTTTCAGCAAAATTTTATTAACCACTTCATTTATTTTTTTTCAATAAAATTTTTTTTTCAGTAAAATTTAATTTTTTTTTAATAAAATTTAATTTGTTTTTATTCTTTTATCCTCTCTAAATATTCTTTAATTAGCAATATTTTATATACTTTTTCATACTTACATTTAATGTTTAAAATGAATCTTACGACGATTATCAATGTTTTCAAATTTCCCAATGATAATTTCAATTGAATTGATAACAATTTAATTCATACATTTTTCTTTTTCTCACTATTTATTGATTGATTTCTTTTTTTTTTTGAAATAATAATTTATACAATTTACCTTTGAAATATTTCACCTCTATTAACGCTCTTTTCAAATTTAGCACCTTTTTTATTGCTCAACATATGCATATCTTATCACTGATTGATTTCTATAAGCGGAATTGTCCGTTACTTTAGCGCTTCAACAATAATAAATTATACGATTCTCATATCTATGCCATAAATGCTTCTTTTTTTTTTTCGGATATCTTTTTCCTTCTTTAATTATCATTTTTCACCATCACTAATTATTATTCTTTTGTTAATCTGGAATTTTACAATTTCTTTTTTTGATTTCTTTTTTTTTTTGATAAATAAATTCTTTAAATTGTCATATTTTAATAATTATCATTCTCCTTTCATTATCATTCTTTAAAATGCAAAAAGAAAAATAAAAGAAATTACGTTGGAACTTTTTAATTAATCAAAATTTATACATTTTACTATTCCTTAATTAAATCAATCCAATAGCTTATTTCAACTACACGATCATACATATATATATATATATGGAAAAAAAATATGGACATTTTTTTTCTCTTATTTAATTAATTAATTAACTTATTTAATTATATGTACTTAATTACATTTGATAGGTAATTGATAAGCACTTTATCAGTCTTTGTAATCTGTATGATTATCATAAATACTTTCACTTTTTCATCTTATTTTAATACTTCATATCTTGCGATTTATCATTTTTCAAACTTCTTGAATGCAATCATATCATTTTAAAGCATCAAACTTATATTATCACTTCTACCTCTTCAAATTTGGACATTTTTTTTTCTCTCATTTAATTAATTAATTAATCAATGTTAAGATAATATTCCATAATTTTACTCTCCCCCCCCCTCCCCCCTTTTAACAATACTTGATATTATGCATTCTTCCAATAGTTATTCAACATTCGATCATGATCATTTATCTTCTTCATCTATTGATATATCTTCAATCCATTGAATATATTCCGATCTCTTCTCTATTTTTTTTTTATCGGAAATTTTTTTACCATCATCTTATATGTATCCTAATTGTTGATAGAATAAGATAAGAGTGTCAAATGCGCTCATGCGCAATATTCTTCTTTTTTTTTTTTTTCAGAGAGGGAATTTTGTTGTAGAAAGTTTTCAATCATTTAAACTAAAACTCGTTCAATTCGTATGGATGGTATTTTTCTTTTCCTTTTTTTTTTCGCAGTGATCTTTAATCATAAATCAAATTGATAGCAATTAATTTAATATTTTTTCGTTAAATTTCTTAGAATAGAAATTTCTTTTTTGCCATAATAATATTTCATTGACAATCTCTCATTAAAATATACATATTCATTCAAATATTTGCCAATGAAAATTTTAAAGTAAACGGAAATTATTATAAGTATTCAAATATTACGTCACTTACGTCAAGTAACCACTTTCTTACGTTTTTTTTTTTTCTTTCACTTATTTCAACATTCTTCATTCTACTGCTTACGACATTCTATATATCATTTTATTTATCAACAGCTGCTGGTGATATTCATTTCGAAAATTATCATTCAATTCAAATGATACTAATTTATTCATTTAATTAGCTACAACAAGAAATATCAACAATGACTAACGAATTGAATCACTACTACTACACTTCATTATCACCATATACTATTCAACATTCAACAATTGAAACTGAAATACCGAAAATCTTAGATCGAAAAAGGCGAAATATTTTGGAATCTAATACCAGCAATATACGTAATCCTACAATTTCATCCCAAACTTTAACAAATCCTATTTTACGAACAGAAATTTCAAATTCTATAACTTCTGAAGCTGATGCATATCGTCCTTGTGGTACTACTACTACTACTACTAACTACTACTATTACTACTAATACTAATACTACTACTACTCTTATTACCTCTGATAATTCTTCGATGAATACTCGATTACCATTAGCTGTAAAACCATTACGTCAATATCAATTAAAATCGGAGAATTTGCATAATTCCAGAGAATACAAATGTAACAATGCTAATAGTATTACTACTAATTCATTATCATCATCATTACCACGAATATCAAAAACAATACAATCATCATCATCATCTAAAATTCATTGTAAACGACAAAATTCACAAAATGATATTATTATGAAATCAAAATGTGAACCTAAAACATTAATTGATGGTGATGATAATAATAATAATAATAATAATATTACAATGAAGAAATTTTTACATGAAATTAATTTAAATTCCTTTGACAATACGACAACATGTATAACACGACCAATTTATTGTGACAATTTATTGTCACATAATTCTTCTTCATCATCATCATCTTCTTCTTCTTCTCATCATACCATATCATCAATGCAAAATATGGCAACAATTCATCAAACTACTAAAATTAGCAATAAATTAGCAAAAAAACCTATACCAACAACATTAGCAACAAATAATATCAAAAATTCAACAATTGATATTAAATGGGAAAGTGCAAAATGTAATATTAAAGGTGAATTAAAAGATGATATGATAAAATCACATAAACAAACTAATTTAATTAGGCCAAGACGTTTAACAGTTGCATGTCCAACAGTAAATGATTGGCCAAAGGCAATGACTGGCCAAAGAAATATTATTCGTAAAAAAAATACCATTGAAAATGATTCATTAAAACATAAAACAATAATAAGAGAATTACCGAAAAAACCATGGTTTACTTCATCGGTAGATGGACCACCAATTATATCACAAATTCATCAAACTACAACTGATAATGATAATTTATCATATCAACAACGCTTTTCCGCCTCTACCACCGAATTGTTAGCATCAGTTGCTATCCAGAAACCAACCGTTATAAAATCCGGTAATTCACAAATTTTACGAATACCTACTACTCCACCATTAAAACCAACAAGAACTTACAAGGAAATGCTTACGGATTTAATGGAAACGGAAAAATCGGAATATAGCTCAAAATCAATGATTAAATCGGAGCGAAAAAAAATTTCTCCAATTATGGATAATTCAAGAATGATTGTTCCAAGAGAATATTGCCATATTAGTAGTAGTAGTCGTGATCATAGTAGTGATTCCGGATTTGGAACTGATTTTCGGAAAAGTTCAAGTGATACGATTGGAAGTAATCCGGTTGTTCAAATATCAGGCAAATGGCTTCAATCCATTAATTTACCATGTGATTCATATTGTCAAATAAATGAGGACGATTTAATGTTATCAGAAAATTCTCTCATAAGGTTTTTGTTTTTTTTCCTTTTTTTTTTGGCAGATTTTAAAAATTTTTTTTCTTTTTGATTTCAAATGATACAATTATTGTTGTCTTTTTAGTATTGGCCATTTTATTAATTACTAACCTTTTAAATAATCTCTCTGTCTCTATCTATGTCCAATAATTTAATTTCATAGAAAATCATAATATATGGATGAATGTTAGCCATCAAACTTGAATACTTGAATTATAAAACTTAATTGTCGTCAAATATATCATTTTCTACAATGTAGTACTTTTATATGTATCAAATAAATAATTTAAGTAATTAATTGGAAATGTAATTTGGATCGATGAAATTGATAATTTGAAAAGGATTTTTTGATATTGTGCAATTTTCTGTCATAATTTATTTTAAATAAGCTGAGAAAAGAAAATGGAAGAGCGAGAAAAAAAACGAATTTTTTAAAAGAAAATGAAAAAATAATTTTAAATTAACTTTAATTTTTTAAAATTTATTTTCATATATGACATCAATGATCATTCAACAAACATTTTGCATTTAAAAATAAAAATTTGATATAAAGAAAATTATTTGAAATTTAAAAAATAATTTACCTGATATCAGGTATTTGAGCATTTGAGTATTAATCAATCATTTTAATTTTTTTTTTGTTCAATTTCTATAATTTCATTAATTTCATTTTCCTTTTCCTTTCCTTTTTTTTTTTCTTTAGGAGGCGAAATAGTTTGGTGGTACGAACACAAACAGGTCTCAGAGTTAAGACAATAATTGGTAAGAAATTTGAAACTTTTTTTTTTAAAAAAAAAACTTATCCAAAAAATTTTCAATTTTTTTTTTCAAATTTTAATTTATAAATTTAAAAAAACAAAAAATAAAATTTGAAATAAAATAATTATTTGCAGATAAATTGCTCAATTCACATGGACGTGAACAACGGAGAGCGCTTTTCTCATTGAAACAAATTTTTCAAGTAAATATTTAAACATCTCTCTTTTTGTTCGAAAAAAAAAAAATTAGAATTTATTTTTTTTTCTTTGAAATAAAAATTTG